AGGCCAAGCGGCTTAAGCGCCTGGCCGACCCGGACTACTCGAGCGACGAGGACGAGGCGGAGCGGCGGATCGCAGCGGCGCTCCGCGACCGGGTCACGGCGCAGAGGCGGCAAGAAGAGGATGCCATCGACAAGCGGACCGCCCAGAAGCAAAAGGAGGCTGCGGCGACGAGGAAGACGCTCGGCACCACGTCGAGGGTGACGACGTACGGCAAGAGCAAGCTCGGCGGCGTCGCATCGCTGCTGCAGAAGCGCAACGGCAGCGGCAGTGGCAGCGCAGAGGGGTCGCAGCAGCCGCACGGGTCCGGCGGTGCCGCGGTCCACGGAGGCCAGGCGGCCGACACCAACGACGGCGTCGTCGGCGATGACGATGATGACGACGACGACGAGCCGATGTCGATCGACCTGCACCTCCTGCTCGAGAAACGTCGAGCCGCAAAGTCCTCGTCGGGCCTCAACGGCAAGGCCGGCGGAGCAGCGACCAACGCAGCATCAGCCGGCGGTGCCAACGACGACGACGAACCAGACTGGGGCAACGACGGCAGCCTTTACCGCATGTCTTCGCGGCCCTCGGTCGGCGGTGCTGCGGGCGGGGCGTCGATGTCGTCGTCGTCGTCGTCGGCGTCGGCGTCGCTGCGAACGTCGTCGGGGGCGTGGAAGCGCAAGTCGGCGTCGGACGACGCGGCGGCGGGCGCCGAGCGGAAGAGGGTGCAGGACGAGCGGCGCAAAACGTCGTCGGTGCTCGTCAACAAGCGCCTCATGTCGCGCGAGTCGCAGTTCCAGCAGTCGCTCTGAGTGAGTGGCGAAAGGGGGGGCGGGGCCAACGGGGAGGATCAGGTATGGCCGAGTCGCGGGCGGCCCTGTTTCGCCCCCGGTGGGTGGGGGGTTTTTCAGCTTATGCAAGTTTGTAATAGTACAGTGTCAGTGATTGGCCCGCGCTTCGACAGCTCCGACAGCCTTGATTGTGTGCTTGAGTGCTGCGGCAAAGAGGGCGGGGGGCTGCGGCGGCGTCAGAGGGACTCGTTGAGGATGGCCTTGATGGTCTTTGCGTCGAGCGAGGCGCGGTGCCTGACGATTTCATCCGCGTCCCAGCCCTCGACCTCGTCGTCGTCGTCGTCGTCGGTGTGCATCCGATCGTCGGCGGGACGGGCGAGTCGGGACGAGTCAAAGTCGACGGCATGCTGGTCGGCCAGCTTCAGAATCTTGCCGACAGCGACGACCTGAGCGACGTTGGCGGCGCGGATCCAGACGAAGCCGTTGACGCCAATGGCGGCCTCGAAGGTGATTGATTTCGCGACGGTGCGGAGGAGGTCGTGCTTGGGTCTGACGAGGCTCCTGGCCAGACCCGTCGAGACGCGGTATGCCATGGCGACGCCCTGCGGCACGCCGCGGGCATTGGTGGCGGTGAGCTCTCCGTACCCCTCTGCTTTGCCCGTCTGCGGGTCGATGCACGTCAGCTCGGGTTCGGTGAACCGGTCGGCAGAGAGGAGGCGGGCGTAGACGAGCGTGCCGATGGCGAGGTTGGGCTTGTGCCGCTTTGTCGCGCCCTCAAAGGAGAGGACGGGGAGGATGGCTGAGTGCGCAGCCGAGAGGTGGACGGTATAGGATTCGGCGCCCTTGTTTGTGATTTGCCCGATGATCGAGTCGTTTGGCGCGGGGACGTACTGCCGTCGAAGGAGGGAGAGAGAGAGGGAGGAAGGGAGATGGGGTCGTCAGTCTTGCTCCTCAGCCCCCCGTTTTGGTCGTCGTGCAGGCAGGATAAGGGTCAAAAGGGAGGATCGCGGCGGGCTACTCACGCGCGTCGTGTTGGTCTCGACCCACCATCCCTCTGAGGATCTGGACTTGCCAATGCCGCTACCGCTGCCGGCAGAGGAGAGGTGTCCGAGCGCACCCGGTCGGATGGCGGTGAGGGCGGTGTGGGGCGACGTCGGGGAAGGGAGCAGACCCGGACCCAGCTTGATTGCGCCTCCGCCTCCGCCGCCGCCGCCGCCGAGGGGCAGGGTGGAGGTGGATGCGAGCGATATCGTATCTCCCGGCAGCACTACTGTCATGTTTGCGGGGCGCTGTGATGGGTCAAGGTGTCCGAAGGCGATGGCGATGGCGATGGTGGTGGCGGGTTGAGGGAAAACGGCAGGGACCAACGAGGCGCTTTGGCAAAAACTTGGGCCGCTCCAAGCGTGGATGAAATGTGGAGCGTGTGGATCGGAAGTCGGAAATGCGCCGGCCAGCCTGGCTGCTCATGCTCTTTATCTGCTGCTTGTGCGGGGATTGCAGGCATCGGGTGCGAGTCATCCCGAAAGGTGAGGCCAACCTCGACCTGCCTTGTCGGTCTCGACACCCACCCGCCGTCCACTCTCTCCTCTTTGCTCGCCCGACCCTTTCACCCCCTCTCCCCTCTCCTCCCTCCCCTCCCTCCGCCCGCTTCAGCGTCGTCGCTTCAGCGCCGTCACTATGGCCATCTCGCAATCCCAAAAGGACGTGTTGTCGGGAACGACGGGCGGCATCGCGCAGGTGCTCGTCGGGCAGCCGCTCGACATCCTCAAGGTGCGCCTCCAGACCTCGCCGCCCGGCACGTATACGGGCATGCTCGACTGCGCGGCGCGCATCGTCAAAAACGAGGGCCCGCTCGCCTTCTACAAGGGCACACTCACCCCCTTGCTCGGCGTAGGCGCCTGCGTCTCGATCCAGTTCGGCGTCGTCGCCTCGCTCAAGCGCCACTTTGCCGCCTCCAACCTCGCCGCGGGGCGCGGCCAACGTCTGTCCAACTCCCAGTTCTACCTCGCCGGAGCGGCGGCGGGACTCGCCAATAGCTTCGTCGCGGGGCCCGTCGAACACGTCAGGATCCGGCTGCAGACCCAACCCTCCCCGCCCCTCTACCGCGGTCCGCTCGACGTGGTACGACAGTCGCTCTCGTCTTCCGGCCTCTTCCGTGGCCTCTACCGCGGTCAGTTCGCCACCTTTGCAAGGGAGGCACACGGAATGGGAATGTACTTCCTCACCTACGAGTACCTCGTGCAGCGCTACCTCGACTCGCACCGCCTCGCGCGCAACGACCTGCCCAACTCGTACGCCATGTTTGCCGGCGCCATGGCCGGCTACGGCCTCTGGCTCACCGCCTACCCCTTTGACGTCGTCAAGAGCAGGATGCAGACCGACGCCCTCAGCCTCGACAAGCGCAGGTTCAAGGGCACCCTCGACTGCGTCGCGCAGATCTGGAAAGAGGCCGGGGCCCGCGGCTTCTTCCGCGGCCTCATCCCCACCCTCGTCAGGAGTCCGTTTGCAAACGCAGCCACCTTTGTCGCCGTAGAATGTACGTTCACCGCGCGTCGTCGTCGAGGGAAGCGTCCCTCCCCCGCAGCTAACTCACTGACTCATTCAAATTCCCCCTCTCTCTCCCTCGTCATCGTACTTCTCCAACCGCTCTGGCACAACAGGGGCCGCGAGGAACCTCGACAGAATCTAGACGTACGCCGCACCGCCGGGGCCCGCTCAACCTCGATAGAGCCTGGAAGTCCTCCCACTCCCCGCCGCGCCGGGCTCGGCCGCTCGATAGACGTAAACGAATCCAAGGCCAAGCAGGGTCGGACATAACCATGGCGGGAGCAGCGAGACGGCAATGTAGCATACAGGGGCAGGGAGCAGGGGCAGGGACGGGTGTTTGGGGAATAGAGCCATCATAGAAAAAGTGACGAGGGCCGCTCACAGGGGCCGCTCACAGGGGGGGAAAGGGCGGGCGTGCTACAACAGGAGCCGTGACGGTGAGGACAAAGATGAGCGGACGACGAGACAGGTTGCGTGGCGGATCGGGGAAGCGCGTGTGACGGTGACACCGGGAACGGGGCGAGGAGGAAGGGGCAAGAGAGAAGCGACGACGGCGGGCGATGGCTTGCGAAGGGCGTGCAGGGACAGAATGAAGAGCCAGCTGATAGGTCAAAAGGGAGGCCGTGCAACGGTGACAGGACCGCGATCTTGAGACGGGGAAAGGGATCGATGCAGGACGCCGTCCGAGGCGTGCCATCGTCATGATGCAAGTGCAGCGGAACGTGAGGTTCGCGGTCGTGTGGTTTGTGACTCGAGCGCGCGCGCAAGAGGGCTGAGATCGAGCGGGGCCCGCGCGCCGGCCGCTACCTCAGTCCTCGTCCATGACGACCGAGGGCCTGTCAAGATAGCGCCTGCCCGCCTCGGGCGACGGGCTGGCCTTGCCACCGTCGTGCATCAGGACATCGCCGTCGTCGCCGCCGTTGTGGGCGTCAAAGGCGTGGAACAGGCCCAGCGCCGTCTCGGACTTGGTCAGGCGGCAGGGCGAGGTGAAGTTCCTCCGTGCGGCCGCGTGGTCGCGTGTGAGCGAGAGGAAGAGGTTGCGGTCGGCATCGAGACTGCGCCTGCCCGTACCCCGGCGACCTTGGCTGTCGTCGCCGCCCTCGGCGCGGTCCGCAACGGAAAGGTCGGTGTCGACGCAGAGGAAGCGCTCAAAGGGGTTCCTCGTCAGCCTCCGCGGGATCGGAGAAGTAGGGATGGGCAGCGGCAGGCCAAGCTTGCGGTGCTCAAGCAGGTGCGAGCCCGTGTGCGACGCCAGCCCGACGTCCTTAGCCCCAGCCTCGGCATCGCCCTCCTTGCCTTCGCTTCCGTCCGAGGGCCTTCGGCTGTTGGACATGACGCTGAAGCCGTCTTCTTCGTAGAAGCTCCAGGCCGAGAGCAGGTTGGGATTCGGCGAGCATTCGCTGCGGCCAGGAGACACGGATCGGGCCCGGCTAGACGGCGACGGGCAAGGGGAAGGCGATGTCGAAGGCGAGCGCGATCGCGAGGGGGACAGCGAGGGGGACGCCGAGGTGGACAGGCTCGAGTTGGTTGAGGCCGACAACTGAGCGTGGACGGCGCGCAGCCTCTGGGTGTTTGGCGATCGCGGGGACAGTGTGAGACCGTCCTTGGTGTCGCCGCACGGCTCAGAGAACTCGGCGGTGGCTGTCGGAGTGGAGGCCGGGTCGATGCATCGGCGCTCGCGCTCGCGGTCCTTGGTCGGCGTGCGCTCGACGTCGTGCGAAGGGCGAGCGTTCGCCGACACCTTGGGCGAGGCCTGCTGGGATCGCGTCTCGTCCATCAGCATGCTCGCATCGTCCGCGCAGACATTGTCGACGTCGTCGCGCAGGCTGTGGCTCATGGCGGCAGCGGCGGCTTCTTCGAGGCACTCGATGGCGGTGCGCAGGCTCCTTCGCCTTCGGCTGGAGCGCTCCTTTGGCGGCGACTTGAAGAGCGGGCCATCCTGCAGATAGGGCGAGGTGCTCGTGGGCGACGAGGTGGACGAGTTGTGCGAGGGGGTCGAGGTGCTCTTGCGGGTATACGGGTGGCTGCTGTGCCCGGTGCTATGGTAGCGGGACTGGGAGAGCGAGGGGAGCGCCTTGTCGGACGACGCGGGCGAAGGGGCGAGCTGGGCCGATTCGTCGATGGATCCACTGCGGCTGATGCGGTGCGCCCTCGCCTTGGAAGAAGAGTGGTGGTGCCTCCTAGCCACCAGGGCGATGGGTCGCCTCGGCATGGGAGCCACCAGGGTGAGCTGCTGAGGGGCGGGCGAGGAAGATCGGTCGAGCATCGTCGTGTGGCGGTCTCGGGAGTGCTGGAAGAAGGGATAAGAGGGCTGGTCTGGGTCGCGGGCGTTGCAAAAGGGACGCTCTGACGAGGTTCAGTTGAGACCCTTGTATGCGGAGAGGCGCGAAGCGGGAGCTTGGGGGGGTTGTGCAGGCGTCTGCCGGATCGAGAGCGCGGGTTGAAAGGCCGAGGCAGATGGCGCAAATGCTGGAGCCGAGGGAAGATGTCGAAGGGGTGGAGAGAAAACGATGCTCAAGAGGAGTGATGCTGCTGGTGCTGGGTATCAAGAGAGGCGCGGGTCGAGTGTTTACTTGGGAGGGGCAGCGGGGGAGTGGGCCGGATCGAGAGACGATGCGATGATGGAAAGGGTACAGGAGTGTGCAGCGGCGGAGGAAGGCAGTCGTTTCGAGCTGATGGGTCGTCGTGGGCTAGTTGTGGGCTGATTGACGAGGAGGGCAGCGAGTGGGCGAACGAGGCAGGAAGGGAAAGCCCGGACGAGGGGACTGAGAGATGGTCGTGAGGGGGGCAGCCGATCGAGGGTGATGATGTCGGTGGCAGTGAGCGTAGAACGCCTGCGATGCGGATGCTGCTGTTGTTGACGTCTACTGTACGATGTGCGAGGGGGCGGTTGTGGTGCGGTATGTACTTGGGGCGGGGCGATAGATTGGCTTGATGAAGGGGCGGGAGGAAGATGGAGGGGAGCGGGGAAGTGGCGAGAGAGAGAGAGGCTAAAGGTGACAGATCGCCGTCGCCCTGGCTGGGCGGCGCAGGGCGTGCACAGCGGGCAGATGGCCGTCCTGGGGTGGCGCTCGAGAGGTCGCTGGAGCGGGGGTACCGCACCCACGGGCGCCGACAACACCCTGTGCCTGGCAGCAAGGCAGGCCAGGCCAGGCCAGGCATCCCCGGTCCTCGGTCGGTCAAGCGCATCCCGGCCAGCACCAGAGGGCCAGCAGAAGCCAGCAGGGCACGAGGCCGGGCGGGCAGGCAGGCGGGCGACCCTGACAGCTGCCCGGCTTGATTTCCCGCCCGCTCGCCCGCCGCCCGCCGCCACCTGCCCGCCTGTGTGTCAAAGAGGCAGGCAGGCGGGCAGAGCGGCAGCAGAGTGCCCTGACGCTGCGTTTGTGAGCGTGGGGGAAGGGGTCGAGCCCCCCGAGCAGGCTACAGTAGGCCCGCCTGCTTGCTTGCGTTTGAGTTTGCTGAGGCCAGGAGCCAAGGGGCCGGCCAGCGCAGCGCCTTCCCCCCGTGCGTCTTTTGCCTGCCCGCTTTTCGGTTCACCTCTGGCCCTAGACCTCGCCGCGTCACTCGTCAGAGTCTCGCCTGCGGAAGACGGCCAGCCGCAGGCCGCAGACCACGTTACGCCGCCGCCGCCTGCCGCTCTCTTGCCGGTCTGACCCTGGCCTGCCTAGCCTAGCCTGACCGTGTCGTCGTGGCCGCCGCCGCCTTCGTCACTACTGCGCCCGCCTAGCTCGGTTTCGATCGGCTGGCTGGTCTCACCCTTGCCCGACCCCCCTTGTCGGCGTCAGCCACGATACGATGGCAGGCAGGCTAGGCCGAGACGAGGAGCAGCTGATGATGCTTCCCCCTCGCCCCTCTCCCTCGCCGCAGCCAAGCACCGCAGACGAACAAAAGGCCACCATCATCATCGAGACAAAGCATTGCAGGTGCAGCCTTAGCTTGCGGTCCCGGTCCAGGGCCGAACGGGACCTCTGCTGCGTGCGCCTGAGATCCCGAAATGGAAATTGCCGGTCGGTCCGTCCTGCCCGCCAGCCCGCACAGAGCACGCGCCCTCAATCGGCCAAGCGGCTCCCCGCCCCGCCTATGCTGAGGCTGAGGACGACCCACGACGACCGACGCCTGCCTGCCTTGATCGTCTCGAAGCTTCACCCCACACCTCACGCTCACGCTTCAAGCCTTTCGGGATCCTTTGCCCCTCTTCATGCCGGGTTCGCGGCAAACGCGGATCCAAGGCCGACGAGGCAGGGCGCTGGTCGGGAGCGGCTCGGGGCCCACCCAACACGACGCAGCCGCCGCCGCCGCCGCCGGATCTGCTTCCGATCCTCTCCTAGAGCTTCGACAGACGGCCTCTGAACGGTCCACCGTACATCGACCAAGCGTCCAAGCAGGCAGGTCGGCAGACAAGACAGACGGCAAAAGGGGTAGAGCAGGCCAATGAGGTCCACTTCAATAAGTTACTCTTTGCCTACGTGAGGTGGGCAAGCGGCTCGGCCAGGCCAGCAGGCTGGGCCTGACACCTGGCGTCGTCGTCGTCCGCCGACGCGACATTTACCTGCCGTAGGTCGACACGGGCGCGGGCTTGTTGGCCAGGATCTCGTCAATCTGCTCCATGAGCTCGGGCGTAAGCTTCTCGAGCAGCTCGAGCGACTTGAGGTTCTCGACGATCTGCTCGGGCTTCGACGCGCCCAGGATGACGGTCGACACGTTCTGCAGGCGGCGACGAGGGGGAGCGGGGAGAAGCAAACGGCGGTATCGCGGCCAAGGCGTGGAAGGTCAGCAACTGGCGGCGTGCCACGATGCCATCGCCCTTGAGGCGGCACTCGGCCTGGACGGGCGGCCGCCGAGCTACTCACGGGGTTCTTGGCGCACCAGGCGAGCGCGAGGTTGGTCACCTTGACGCCGAGCTTGTCGGCAATCTCGGTGAGCTTCTTGACCTTTGCGATCTTCTCCTGGCCGGCGGGCGTCTGGAGCGACTTGACGGTCTCGTTGAAAAAGTCCTGGTTGGTGTCGAAGCGCGAGCCCTTGGGGACGCCGTCGTTGTACTTGCCCGTCAGCAGGCCCGAGGCGAGGGGCGACCAAATGGTGGTGCCGAAGCTGTGGTTCTGGAAGAGGGAGTCGTACTCCTTTTCGAGGCGCTCGCGGTGGAACATGTTGTACTGGCACTGGTCGGCGACGGGGGGGATGAGGTTGAGGCGGGCGGCGACGGCGTGGGCCTCCTCAATCTGCTGGGCGCTCCACTCGCTGGTGCCCCAGTAGAAGCACTTGTCGCTCTCAATGAGGCGGTTAAAGGCGCGCACAATCTCCTCCATGGGCACCGTGGGATCGGGGCGGTGGGCCATGAGGACGTCCCAGTAGTCGAGGCCGGCGCGCGCGAGCGAGGCGTGTGCGCCCTCGATGATGTGCTTGCGCGAGAGGCCGCGGGCGTTGGGGTCCTTGCCGCCGGTGCCAAAGAAGATCTTGGAGATGAGGACGAGGTCGGAGCGGCGGAGGTTGAGGTTGCGGATCGCCTTGCCCATGTCGACCTCGCACTGGCCCTGGGCGTAGACCTCGGCGGTGTCAAAGGTGCTGATGCCGTTCTCAAAGGCGAGCTTCATAATCTCCTGCGTCTCGTTCTCGTTGACGGTGCCGCCGTAGGTGAGCCAGCCGCCGAGCGAAAACAGGCTGACGCGGAGGCCCGACGAGCCGAGGCGGCGGAAGACCATGTTCTTGGGGTCATAGACGGGGCAGTCCTTGGGGTTGGCGGCGGTGGGAGCCATCTTGTCGTCGTCGTCGTCGTCGTCGTCGCGGTGGGGAGCGGAGCGGGCGGGGGGAAGTCTGCGAGGAAGAAGGGAGGGGATGGGGTGGTGGGACGAGGAGGAGGCGCCAGGAGGAGAAGGGTGCGGGGCGGAGGTTGCTATATATACCGCCAGGCCGCCGCCCAACATCGACGATCGAGGGGTGTCTCTCTCGCTGGCGGCCCTGCCTTCTCTTCTACTCACTCTGGTAGCTTCGGAGGAGGGTGAAGCGGCAACTCGTTCGATGCTGCCGCTGCCTCGCTTGGTGCGTCCGTGCGTTGGTCCCGAGACGGTGGGCGGGTTCAGGCGGCGTGGCCCACCCGACCCCTCTGCCCGCGCCCCCAGCCTCGGTATCGCCGGCCAGGCTAGGCCAGGCCAGGCCAGGCCACTCGTCTCCACCTCCACCCGCAGCGCACGCCTCGGCAGCCACGCCGGCGGCTGCGAGCCGGCAGAGCACAGGCCAGCAGCAGGTCGCTCGCACCGCCTGCCAGCCAGCAACCAGAAATGCTGCACGGAAATCGGGAGAAAAAAGGCAAGCGTGGGGCCCTGACTGCCTCGACTGCCTGGCTTTCGCTTCTTCTCAACCCAACACGATCCTCCTCCGCCTCACCCTCTCGTCTCGCCGGGCCCCTCGTCGCTTGCGACTACGATCGCCTGTCGGATCGACCGAGATGAGGTCCACCCTCCTCCGAGCCATCCGACCGTCTTCGAGTCAAGCACAGGCACAGCGGCTTCGCCTCCCTTTGGTCGAGCAGGTGCGGCCATCCAGCACATCGGCCGGCCAGGCCTTTTCCACATCCGACGAAGCGCTCATCGCAAAAATCGAACAGCGGCAGCTCAGATACCGCCTCAGCACAGCCGGGAAGTCGGAGGCCGACAGGCAGGAGGCGACGGACCTCGCACACGCCGAGGTTCGCTGGCTGCTCGAGGAGGTGCGCTCTTGGCCCGGCACATCGTCCAAGTCGCTCGCTCATCAGCAGCGCCGCCAGCTTATCCAGATGGCCAGAAGCATGACCCGATGTCAAAAGCCCATCAGCTACGTCCTCGGCCACCACCCCTTTGGCGACCTGCCCAAGGAGCTCATCGTCAGACCGCCGTGCCTCATCCCCCGCCCAGAGACAGAGGAATGGGCGAGCCAGCTGGCCAACAAGGTGGCCGATGCTCTAGAGCATCGATCGAGGAGCGCTTCCTCATCCTCATCGTCCGCCGGCGTCGATGGGCAGGTCATCTTCAGGATCCTCGACCTCTGCACAGGCTCCGGCTGCATCGCCATCCTCCTGGCGCACACGCTGCTCAAACGCCTCGGACCTTCAGGATGGCACATCACCGCCTGCGACCGCTCCGCCGACGCCGTCAAGCTGGCACGCGACAACGCCGTGCACATCGGCATCCCGCAGGCCAATCTCCATGTCTCCGAGGCCGACATCTTCCACGACGGCGACATGAAGGCCCTGCTCGGCGCCTGCCCTGCGGACCCTAACCGACCATTCGACCTCGTCGTTTGCAACCCTCCTTACATCCCGCGTGCAGAATGGCAACAGCTCGACCCTTCGGTCAAGGCCTGGGAAGATCCTCTGGCGCTGATCGGAGAGGAGCGGGCGGATCAGAGATCCCCGGACGATCACGGCAAGAGCACCGCCGCATCGCTCGGACTCGACTTCTACCACCGGCTCGCTGTGCTGGCCCGGGACCCGACCTTCCTCTCATCAGCGAGCGAAGCGCCACACAGCGATGCGCTGCCTCGGATAGTCGCCGAGTTCGGCAAGGGGCAGCACGGCGCCGTCCGTGGTATCTTCAACGATGCCGCTCTCTCCCAGGTACCAGCCCTGCAGACTTCGCCCAAGATGGGTCCGTCTCCGCCAAAAGTCGTCAGGCTGAAGCAGAAGCTGCTCATCGCCGGCCTGGGCAACCACACCCATCCCTTGACGCGGCACTCGATCGGCCAGCTCATCCTCGAGGACCTGCCGAAGCGGCTGCACCGTCACACACTGGTCCAGCATCAGCGACTGCAGGCCAAGGCGGAACGAGTCGAACGCTACCTTGCCTCGTCGAGGCGGTCGGAGAGCGGCGATGCTGTCAATGGGCGAGGGCGTCCGACTATCGTCCCGCTGATGCATCCTGCCAAGGCCGACGAAGGTCCAGCAGAGCCTCTGGCAGCACCCGAGGACCTGTCCGGGGAGCTGGCCGTGCATCGCGAGCTGCGCAGCTGGTCGTGCACCGTCCCCGTCCTCGTCGAGGTGAGACCTGCACCGTCGACGAAGCCTAGCGACGCGAAAACCAGCCGGAACGGGCCTCCGGTGATGGTCCAGCTCGATCTGGTCCTGTACAAGACGCGGTACCTGATGAACGAGTCGGGCAAGGGCATCGCCAGGGCCATCAGCCACTTTGGCGTCGGCGGCTCCCAGGCCGCCCGGGAGGACCGCTATGCCGATGTGCTGATCCTGCACGACGAGCTATCGCGGGGCTTTGGGCGGATCTCTCGCAAAGACCGGGGCAGCGCGGCGGGACACAATGGGATACGCAGCTGCTTTTCCTCGCTCAAGATCCGCGACATCGACACGGAGGTCCTGCCACGTCTCCGGATCGGGATAGGCAGGCCGGAAGATGCGCCCTCGGCTTCCGCATCGCAGCAGCGTGAGAGGGGGCTGATGTCGAAGTTGAGCGCAAAGATGGACACGGCGACGTGGGTGCTGAGCAAGATGGACGGCGCTCAGGTGCAGAGCTGTCGGTTCGTCGACCCCCAACCGGACAGTGCGGCAGGCGACGAGGAGTGGAGGGTCGACGACTCGAAACCCATCCCCAAGGGGGCGGATGCATCGGAGCCCGGCGTGGTCATGGAGTTGACGGCGCGCAAGGTACTGGAGTGGGTGCGTGAGCGGGCCCTAGCGGCTCTTGAACAGGAGGGCTGGTCGCCCGATGGCCCCGCATCTCGTCCTTCTCCTCGTCCGTCGAGGGAAAGTGGAGAGCGGAAGCCAGGTGGACGGATCGAGGTCAGGAGGGATCTGTTTGGCGTCGACCGCTCCCTCTGGCTGTACTGAGCTCTGTCTGCGTCCGGCGTCGGGTGCGAATCGAGAATCGTAGGAGAGGTGGTCGACATCAGTCCATGGGGCGGGCCGAATTGTCTCTGTGGCCAGGCCCAGGCCAGGCTGAGGCCGACGAGGCGATGCGTTTTGGGCGCGCCCGACCAAAGATGCCCGGCCAGGTGGAGTTCGGTGGGTGGGTGAGCTGCGAAGGGGCGGGCGGGCGGGAGCGAAGGAAACGAAACCAACACGAGCCCGCGTCGACCCCACCTTGTCTCTGGCCGGCTCAGGGACTGCACGCTGGCTTCCGCACCTCGAAACCCGACCACCACCTCTTCCGCCCCCACTCCTCGACGCCGCCTCGGCGCCACCTTCCGCTCGCTCGGGGCGATCTGGCCTCGTTCATGACACCTCGTCGGCTCAACCTTCGCTCCTGAGCCATCCCCACCTCCGGCGGTCCAAAGACGTCAGCCAGGGCACGGGCATCCACCTCTTCAACATCAGCTCCTCACAGTGAAGCGCTCCCCTGTTTCGACTCCTTGCGCCTCCGCCGTCCTCGAGGCCTCTGCTATGCCCGCCTTTGATCCGTCACATCGACTCTTTCCCAGGGCAGGCCCTCGCATCGCCTTCCTCCGCCCTGCACGATGAAGCACGACAAGCCCGCCTCGGGCGGCGGTAGCAGCTCCCTGCGACGGAGCCCACGCAAGGGGAGCGGCACTCCAAAAGCATCACCCAGCGCACAAGCAGAGATCGAGATGCCCAAGTACATCCCCGACCCCGCCCTCTCCCGCAGCGAGCAGATGCGGGCCGAGGTCCGCTTCAAGCTTGAACAGAAAAAGGAGCTGGCTGCCATAGCCGCACGTCGCGCGGCGTCCGACGAGGACAGCGATGAAGAATTCCTCAGCCTTCCCGTCCTGACCACCTCGCAGAAGGAGTCAAAGATGCAGAGCAGCTCCAGCTCGCCCGCACCCGAACCCGAACCCACACCAAGCCGCTCTGGCAGGCCTCAGCGGCGCGCTGCGGCTCAGCGATCCTATGCCTACGACGCCGACCATGCAAAGGCACCAGCCAAACCGCTCTCCTTGACCCCGGCCGATGCCAGCCTCGATCGCAGGTACGCCATGCAGAACCTGCTCAAGGAGCGGCGCAAGGAGCAAAAGGGCACCGACGGCCAAGGCCGCTTCGCCCGCGCAGACGCCATCGCACTCGAACTCAGAAGGGAGGCGGACGCAGCCGTCGAAGAGGCCCTCCGCGAGAAGCAAGAGCAGAGGCGGAAGCTCGCCGAACCCTTCGCATCGAGCGGCCGGCAGCATAGGGCAGGGGAAGTCGACTCGACGGCCGAGCATGACGGCACCGACGAGCTGGAGGCCTCCATCTACTGGTCCTCGGACGACTCGTGCTCGACGTGCGCCTCTTTATCGACCAGTGCCTCTTTCGCGAGCGCCCGCGAAGTACCGCCGAGCTCCTCGCCCAGCAAGGGCTCCTCAGGAAAGCTTTTCGAGGGCCCATCTTCGCCCGCCCCGGCAGCCGTGCAGGGCGATCGGCCGGCACCCGGCACGGACCCCGAGCACAATGCCATTGTCGACGTGCTGATGTCGCACGCCGATGACGAGCTCGAGGGCAAGGCCATCCTCGACATCGTCAAGAGGGATCTCGACCCGGACCACGAGGACCCTCTGCACGGACCGCGTTCCAGAGGCCGCACGCGCAAGTCCTTCTGGCGGTCTTGCCGCGTCAAGCGGCCCGACCCGAATGACATGTGCTCCGATGCGGCGAGTGATCATCTCACGCGCCTGCTACTCAGCGGCGCCCTTCCGCTGCTCTACTCGACGCTGCCGACCTCGACACAGTCGCTGTGCAAGTGGCTCTTCTTCCGCTGGGTTCTGTCCGAGAAGCCCGAGGTCCGACAGAGATCCCACGAGGCGTTTGCGGACCTCATCCAACGACACGTCACCGACGACGAGCGCGAGGCGATCATCGACACCATTGCTGCGCAGCTGCCCAAGCTCTTGGTGCTGCTGGGTGCCAAGCTCGCGACAGTCATCGACTGCTTCTCGCTCGGCGACGACCAGCTGGATATTGAGGCTCCCGCCAGCATCGACCGGAGATCCGACGCCGCACGCGGCAGCCAAGACCAAGGCAGCCCCTGGCTGACGAGGACCGAGCTCTGGAACATCGTCAACCGGCTGGCGCAGGCGGTCAGGGTCGTCTCCAACAGCTCCCACACGCAGCCGAAGCGTCCCAGCGACTACGTCGAGGGCGTCTTCGTCAGCCTGCTGCTGGTCCGCTCCGAGCTGCACTACGGCGGCCTGCGCGACGAGATCGGCCAGACGCTGTCGCACCTGCTGGTCGAGTTCTCGCCGTTCTCGGTGTCGAACCACGCTGGCGGCGACGTCGGCGTCGACTGCTCCAAGATGTGGGATGTGCTGCGCAGGGAAAGCATCGAGGGACGTCTCGAGGTGCTGCGCGCCTTTCCTGCCGACAACTACGTCGGGCGGACGATCCGAAGGTGGCTCGCCTGGCGCAGCCTGATGGGCGACGACGAGGTCGCTGCACAGCGCGGCCTCCGCTACGTGATACCCGAGCTGGGCCGGCTGGCCGCCATCATTGACCACGCGGACCCTGCCTCGCCCTTTTACGTGTCTCCGCCGTCCGAAGACCGCAAGTCCGAGGGCATCAAGACCGACTACGCCACGCTCAGCGCGGCCACTGAGCTGATGTGCGTGGCGCTGAGCGATATGGGCCTGCAAATCTGCAAGCCCAAGGGCTACGCTGACACGCCCGGGCCCGGCTCGCCGCCGAAGCGCAAAGACGTCGCCGCGCACTCGCGCGCGCTCGACCTGGCCCTGGCGCCGTACCGCTTCCTCGAGCCGAAGCGGCGTTCGCGACGCATCGAGGCGATGCGCGCCATCGTCGAGCGGCTCAAGCTGGTCAACATGGAGGTGTCGGACCTGCGCGACTCGACGCTCGCACGAGCGCGGGCCAAGGATGCGCTGCTCCGCCTCTACCTCTCGCTCGACTACCAGATCACCATGTACGCAGCGAGGCCACACAAGCTCGAAGAGGAAGAGGCCCCCTCCAAAGTCGGCTTGGCAGGCAAGGTGCCCAGGGGACTCGATGGCCAGCTGATGCAGAAGCTCGCCGGGTCCTCTGGACGATCCGGCGATGCGGCTGAGGGACAGGCCAAGCAGAGCCTGCCGCGCTTCGCAATGCCGGTTTCGCCGTCCAAGGAACGCGTCAACAGACAGAAGCAGGCCAAAGACGGCGATGCCAGGCAGGTCTCGCCGTCGAGGTCTCGCCTGGGCCCGGAAGGGTCGCAGACGACGGGAGAGCGCGGCAGCTGCTCGTCTTCGTCGTTCCGGAGCGCAAGCGAGACCAACGCCGGCAGAGGCGGGACAGCCAGCGCGGCAGCCAACGTCAAGGACACGCCCAAGCGAGCGCGCCCTCCCGGGACGCCTACGAAGTCGTCCAAGAAGCCCAGGGGTGTGGCAGAGCCGGATGGCAAGCAGCGGAAGCTGACGTCGTTCTTTGCCGGACGACCCGAGGTGGTGGTGCTGGCGCCGCGATCCAGCTCCCCGACGTCGCTGCGGGGCGGCAAGGTGGCAGTGGACGCTTCGGGCGGGGACGACGAGGTCGTCAAGCCCGACCGGCGACGGCGTGGACCGAGCGCGGACGGCGCGGACGACGAGGATGAGGGGATGCAGGGCGACGACGACGCGGACGAGGATGCGGACGAGAATGTCTCGCCGCGCACTCTGCGCGAGCGGGGCGCAGCAGCGACGCCTGCTGGAACGACCAACGGCCGACGATGCGGTGGTGTCGCGTCCGCAGCCTCGCCTTCGAGCACGGCGTCGAGACGAAGCGCATCGCCGAGCAAGCGGCATACAAGTGCGGCGGTGGCGGAACAGGCCCCGCCGCCGAGGAGGGGTGCACAGCCACAGGCATAGGCTAGGACGGACGAACGAACGACGACGACGGCGAGGGAGGACATACGCACCGCACGCAACGCACGCATCGCAACCATGTACCTTAGTCCGCTTGCAGAACGCCCTAATTCTCTGTACTACTCTAGCATAGGCTTCCACCGGGACCTTGGGAGCGAGGGGATGAAGCGATAACGAAGCGGTGTGCGTGGGTCTTCCTGCCGTACGTCTACGGCGGCTATTGCGCAGACCTCGACCGACACGTGGCCGACACGAGGGCCAGATACGGTTCGACGCAGCCTAGTTGGGCATGGGCATGGGCATGGGCATGGATATGGAGGGTGTGCTCTTATCTCCAAGCTGAGTCCGTACTGTATCGCCCAAGGCAGGAGGCGCAACGCGTACTTTCGGCAGACGATCAGGAACCGCCTCATCCGCTGTACGGCCAAGGTGATATCACGGAAGCGCGCGCGTGTTCGATGCTAGGCCTAGGGACGCGACGAGGGTCGTGGAGTGCCGCTGGAGAAGAGGACGAGGCAGCATGCTGCCAAGACCCACAAGAGGTACGGCCCGACCTTACCGTACCTGTACCGGTACCGGTAAGGGTCAAGGATGGGAGCATGTGGTGAGATGCAGGGAGGGGGTTTATGGGACTTCGGCCATCTCCGCGTGCGATACCGCCAGACTGGCGCCAGACGATGCCATGCCATGCCATGTCATGCCAGGCTTCGAGGCCGGTCGGGTGTGTGTAGCGAGGACTTGTTTGCGAGGGGTTGGCGTGGTACCGCTATCGGCGCTCGCTCCGACGGCTACCGTACTGTGCAGTACCGTACCGATACCGATGGCCCGTGTCACGAGGCCCAAGACGACGGTCCCGTTGTGCCTGCCTTTGCCTACATAGCGTCTCGTCGTCTGTTCTGCGGTGCGGCACGGTGTGGCAGGGCGCTGGTACAAGATGAGGATCGGAACGACGATTCCGGAGAGGGCGGCAGCGTGTACGGTATGTGTGCACTCTCCGACGTTGGCCTCGCCCGCAAACGATATCGTGACAGGACAGCACGACGGGCGTTGGAGCCATGCGCCGTCACCCCCCGTCCCTTCCCTCGCCATACATGGCAAGGGAGGGCGCAGGTCACGCTCATTGTCTGATTGGCCGTTGCTGGGTGCGGACGTTGTGTGGGGTCTCCGCAAACACAGGCAGGCGTGCCGGGGCGACGGACTGTCACGCTGCGAAGGGAGCGAGCAAAGGTGCTGCGAGGAGAATGGCGCTGCGATGCAAGCCTTTTCGACCTCGGCCATGTCCGAAGAACTCTACCTGCCCCGCGCTGCAGCAAGCAGCGGCAGCAGCCAGCAGCAAGTGACGATCGATCTGGCGCTGCAGCACCTCGCCGTGCGGGGTACAGAGTAGCGCCGTCGTCAGCCTGCCTCAACGTGCGTCCCGTCCGGGGTCGGCTGCTGGATGGTGTGGGTGTTTGTGCGGGGCACCGTACATGTCCACCGCAGTCGACAGCAGGCGCGGTCGTCGGCGTCGGCGGCGGCGGCGACGACGTGGTGGTCAGGCAGGGCGCGAATGGCGTCCGGTCAAGTCCGAAGGTGGGTGCGCGCGCTTCGGCCTCGTCGCCAGCTGGTCGGACACCTGGCCTGAGCTGACCTGGCCTGGCCTGGCCTGGTTGACGGGAAGCAAGGGATCGTCGCTCGGCCGACCGCTCGACGAGGGCAGACCCGGGCCCTGCTGAGCTGGCTTCGATGCCTGACCCGCCCGCCTGCTTCTGGATGCGGTCGTTGGCTGGCCCCCCTGGCGCTTCTTCTCGCGCTCCTTTTCCCCGCCGGTACGGTAGACTCGACTGGCAGGCAGGCTTGATGGCCAGGCCAGGGCCCCCTGCCCCTCTCGCTGGCCCGGCAGGCCCCCCGACGCCGCGCGCTCATCGTCGAGCAACAGCGACCGGAAGACGCTGTCCCGAAGTCGCGCACCACCCACCCACGTCTCTCTCCTCGTCGTTTGCCTCGCCGACATGCCCCCCCGTCTAGGCCGCCTCGACCGCCTGCTGGTTGGCTGCGCTTTCAGCTTCCCTTGGGCTAAGCATCCCTCGCTCCTCGTCCCGACGTGTCATGCCCCTCCCTCCGCGCCTTCCTCTGGTCGTATGATCTGCGAGCGAGCGAGCGAGCGACAAACGCCCCTGCTGCGCCCACCAATCAGAAAGGAAACGCCTGCCTGTCGCATGAGAGGGAAAGGCCGGGCAAGCAGGGACGAGAAGCAAGCAAGAAAGAAGACGATGAAAAAAAAATGGGCCGCCTTCAAGCTCCGCCCACGTCCTGCGGGGGATGGGGCGAGCAGCCAAACCACGCAACCAAGCAAGATAAGCAGCCTGCCTGCCTGCCTGCCTGCTTGCGATACGCCAGCTGACGGACAGCGACGAATCGGAAAGCGCCCCAGCGCAGAGAGGGGGGTGTGGGGGAAGATGGGGGAGAGGAAGCGACATGGTCCGCCAGGAACGCGGGCGCACACGCGGGTCGACAGCTCCGCAGGCCAGACGTTTGCCTGGCCGGCCTCGTGAAGGCGTCGCTAGGTGGTGGTGTAGAGAGCCGTACGTCCGTCCCTGACCCTCACCTCGCCACCTGAACAAGCAAGCCAGCCAGCCTTGGCCCGCGTGGTCGGCGAGTGGCCGAAGACGGGGCCAGGTTAGGGGCAGGGGCAGCGGAGAGAGCGAACAGCGGCTGGCACGCGGAAAAAAAAAGAGCGCTTGGCCCCGAGCGACGAAGGCGGAAGCCCGGGCTTTGAGGCAGACGAGAAGGTGAGCCAAGTTCATGCCGGGCCAGCGGGCTTTCTCGCTGGCCTCGTGCCGCCTCACCGCACCGCACCGCACCGCACTCGCCCGCCTGGCTGCGTTCACTTTTCTTTTTCTTCTCATCTCTCGCTCTGCGGAGGCACCAGGCAGGCAGGCACCCCTTCATGCTTTCGAATTGCCACCCACGGCTCGACGCGAGGCCCATGGCCGCCTGGCTGCGGGACCGTATCTCAACCGTACGTTCTCGAGAGCTCGTCTGACCATATGCATGCTATCTACCTACCTCCGGTGGCAAACTGGCAGACAGGCCGGGAGAGTCAGGCTCGGCTTCGAGGTCGGAACCGGGACCGGAGGCCTTATCGGGCGAGGCAGCGTCGGGACGATCCGCCGGGCACCGACGAGGAAGTGGGGCTTCCGGCGCACCTCTCTACTCTTGCCTTGTGTCTGGCCTCGAACACGACGGCGGGCGGTATCGGAGCGAGCAGCCTGGCCTGGCCTGGCCATCCACCCACCTGCCTGCCTATCTGCGTGATACCGTACTCGTACTGTACCCGTACCCGTACCCGTACGGCCCTAGCCCGGCTGCTGGCCGGCTGGCGTGGCAGGCGGTGGTATCGGCCCAGTCCTGGCCCGCCCTTGGTTTTCCTAGCTGCTTGCGGAGGAGAGGGCCTCGAGCGCTGGGCTGGAAAATTTCGTCCGTCGAACC